CCAGACCTCCCAGCACTACATCAACCCGTCTTTTGAACACCTCCAGGGATGGGGCCTCAACCACCTCCCTGGGCAGCCCATTCCAATGGCTGAGAACCCTTTCAGTGAAAAAATTTTTCCTAATATCCAGCAGAATATGTTACAGAAGGCAGGCTGGGGTGGGGGACAGAGCAGTCACCTGCTGCTTGTATTAGAACTGATTCTTCTACTTCATGCAGATAATGGGTCACGGGGCCAGTGCTCAGCATAAAATATTTAATCATAGAATGGTTAGAGCTGGAAGGGACCTTAAAGATCATGGAGTTCCAACCCCCCTGCCATGGCCAGGGACACCTCCCACTAGACCAGGTTTAATGAGCAAGCACCCATTCCAGGTGGGCCCACGTTGTCAAAATTTTTATCTCTTCTATGCTGGCAGCTAAATTCTACCCATGAAGAAGGCAAAGGGTGAGACCCTGGCCCAGGTTGCCCAGAGAAGAAGCTGTGGCTGCCCCATCCCTGGAGGTGTTCAAGGCCAGGTTGGATGGAGATTTGAGCAACCTGGTGTGGTGGGAGGTGTCCCTGCCCATGGTGGGAACTCGATGATGTTTAAGATCTTTGTAACTCTAACCATTCTATAATTCTATGTTTGGAAGCTAAAGACAGCATCATGTCACAACCCAAGAAGGTGTTTTTATAGAATGTGATTTGAGTAGCTTTGGTCTGAAAACTTAGTGTAGTGACCAAGACATGAGTGGGGATTTTCTGCCTGTTTTCAAGCCTAGAGAGAGGTGGATCATCCCAGTAACAGAAGCCTTGGCGGTTTTAAGCTGGAACTGTGCAGTGTGTTAACCTCTATTTAGGGATACAAGGATGTGCTCTTTCTGTCTGTCCAAACAGATGTAATATCACTGGAATTAGGTGTATTGCCTATAATGTGGTTTCAGTTTCATCTCCCAGCAGAAGAAAGCAAATGTTATCAAACTTGACTGTGAAGTATAAAAAAAAATAAATCTTAATGGCAGCCTTGTACATCTTATATTGACCGATCAGTAGCCTGGCTGTCATCTGGGCAAAACAAAACTTGAAATTCACCTCACCTGTGCTAAAGCAGCTGAACTTTGTAGTTACTGAGGAGAGCACAGTGCAGCTGTACTTTAAAAGGAGGGGTCGTTGCCGAGTCCAGAATTCCCCCCCCCCCCCAGCAAAGCTCTGCTGGTCCCAGATGGATGGTCCTGTTTCTTTCTCTGTTCCTAGCAGTGTGCTTCATTGCGTGGGGAGCTCTAATGCTGCCTCTCTTTTCCCAAAGCTGCCTTATCCAGTTGTCTCCTCTTTTCCCCAGCATTTCTATAGAAATAAATTACCAGATAGAAAAAGATCCGTACAGGAAATCCGCTACAGCCAGTTTCCAGTAAAAAATCTTTTTGAAATATGACTAAATTTCGTTACTACAGTGCCTCATCTTAACTACTTGTTTACACATTCAACCAGTCAGTTGAATCGGTTTAAAAACTGATTTAAGTAAACTGTTCCAAATATCTTTTACGTGTTTATTTACAGATTTAAAACAAGTAAGTTCTATTTTGCTGGAAACTTTTCTGGCCAGTTTTATTTAAGAATGCTCACACACAAAGTTGTATGTGTTTGGCTATACAATTTAGCTAGAGTGTGATTTTTAAATTGGCATAGCTTTGCATTTTATACCAATTCTTATTTATGCTATATATCTCCCTGCCAGGAAACCTGCTTCCACTCTGCAGATAGACTCACTGCATTCTTTAATTCCCAACTGTAACGTGAATGGAGTAAAATTATGCTGGAGATGTCCATGTTAGGGTAATTAAGCTTGATTACAGATTTCCTTTTTAAAACTTTTCCCAAAAAAGTCTTAAATCAAAAAACACAGAACGCGAACCTTGGCTACTACTTGAAATTTTCATGGTTTGATGAAAAATGGTGCAGAGAGGCGGGGGGAAGCATTAAAAAAAACCCAACCCTAGTGGCGGTCTTCCAGAGAGATTGTGGGGGTTTTTTTAAGCTTCCTCTTGTAAGAAATTTTAAATAGTTACTGATTCGTACGTTTTTCTTCTGTCATCAATTAGAGCGATACAGGCTGCTGCCAGATGGAAGGTAAACTATCATCAGCCAGGTTTTGGAAGTGAAGTTAGGAGCTGGGGTATTGCAGTGGACACAAAACACATGCATATGGTGATGAAGCTCCAGTTACAGCAGGATATATTCACTGCAGGAGTACCTGTGGTGGTTCTCCCCAAGAAAGAGGGATGGTGTCTGTTGGAAAAATCCCCCTGACTGTAATGAGGAGAAAAAGCAGAGAATAAGAATGTCACAGAGACAGGAACTAGTCTGAGCAGTGGTTGGTTGAGAAATACCAGGGGCCCCCACTTTATTCAGTGCCTTCTCCCCGCTCTGGTGTGTTCCTCGGGTGCTGGGCAGCTGAACTGATCCTTCTTTGTGGCAGTCGAACTCGGAGCAGCATGTTTTTTGGGGCTGAAGCCAGTATTCCTGCCTTTAAAGTGAGCAGTGAGACAAGAATGCTGCTAACCGCTCCAAGTATCCTCTAGTGGATCAACAAACAGATGAATAGCCTTTCAGAGCCGCTGGGCTTACTCTCACGGCAGCAAAAGTACATTATCAGAAGCCTTATGTTTGCAATTATGCAGCCTGAAAAATCTCAGGTATTTTTGTAGTGATATCGCGGACCCTGTTCTAGTGGGGTTAAAGGAAGGTAACATTTTTTTGACTGCTGATTATAGAAAACCTTAAACTTCCTTTTTTTTTTTTTTTTTGCTGCACGGAAAAGTCTGTCTGGTCTCTTGACCTGTAGCTTACTTCCTTTGTTCTGTGCTAAGCACAGGCTTGCTAATTATCCTTAGTTGTTTCATTTGGTAATCAACACCTGCAATAATAGCGGTTTCCCATTTGTTCCACTGTACCCCGTTCAGTGCACCAGAACTGTAGCTCACAGGTAATCTCTGCTCGAACCTTCTAATATTTAAACTATATTGCTATCATAATTTCACTGTTTGACATAAAACCATATTCATATATTTGCACAAGGGTAATGCACACAGTGTAATGTGCGTTTGACAAGCCAAGGTAAATTGGGTGTTACAGCGGGGAGTCGGAAGAAAAGGGCACAGGGATTTACTCCTGGGTAAATAGAGCGTCTCTCTGCTTTCTCCTGGCTGGGAGAAGACATTCATAACTGCCAAATAAATTCAGTAATCAATGGGAGAATTTAAATTGGGTTGCTGTAGGTGATATTCCAGAGCTACTGCGGGGAAAATGCAATAAATCTTCCAGACCTTATCTACTGGAGCGATTTACCGCAGGAGGAAATATTTGGTGTCCTAAGCATGACTTAGGGCACAGAATAACTCTGACGTGCCAGATATTGATTACCTTAATCTTGTCTTCAGCGTGGCTAAATATTATTATCTTAAACTGAGTATTTGCAGCTCATTAAGTTGTAGAACTAGTGAAGTTGAATGGGTGAAAAGGTTGTTCCTTGAGTGGCTTGGCGGGTTCTTATCGAATGGCCACTATTAAGAAATCTGAGGCAGTTGGTATTTAGAAACATTAATACTAAAAGAGTTCTAGAATATCAGTAATATTGTTAATTGTTGTGATTCTGCCCCAGTATATATGCTGCAGGGATTTGATATGATGGATATAGAGATAGTTCCTTGTAATTATGACTTTCTGGGACTGGAAGGGGCTCTAAGGTTTCTGGAACCTTTTCTTCTCCAGGCTGAACCCCCCCAACTTTCTCAGCCCCCCCTCCCAGCAGAGGGGCTCCAGCCCTCCCAGCATCTCCATGGCCTCCTCTGGTCCCACTCCAACAGGTCCAGGTCCTTCTGCTGTTGGTGGCCCCAGAGCTGGAGGCAGCACTGGGGGGGTCTCCCCAGAGCAGAGCAGAGGGGCAGATTCCCCCCCTGGCCCTGTTGGTCTCGCTGCTGGGGTTGCAGCCCAGGGTGCAGGGGCTTTCTGGGCTGCCAGCTCACATTGCTGGCTCATGTTGGTTTTCTCATCCATCTCATCCATCAAATCCAGGTCTCTCCAGTTTAGAGACAAGGATGTCCTGTGAGACAGTGTCAAATGCTTTGCCCAAGTCCAGGTAGATGACATCAGTTGCTCTTCCCTTGTCCACCAACGCTGTCACCCCTCTGTAGAAGGCCTCTGTCCTGGTTTCAGCTGGGATGGAGTTAATTTTCTTTCTAGTAGCTGCTGTGTTTTGGATTCAGTATGAGAATAATGCTGATAACACGCGTTGTTTTAGTTTTTGCTAAGTAGTTTTTTATATTGGTCAGGGAAGCTGAGAAGGGAGCATGGACAGGACAAACTGGCCAGAGGAATATTCTGTACCATAGGCATCCTGCTCAGTATAGAAATGGGGGTTGCCCAAGGGGTAGGAATCCACAATCATTGCTCGGGATGTGCTGGGCAACCAACCCATCATCAGGTGGTGAAAGCGTCTCATGTTGTATCACTTTATTTTGTATATTCTTTTATTATTATTCTTATTTTTCTCTTTGGTTTCTCTTTGGTGGCAGTGAGCTGCGTGGCCCTCGTTGCTGGCTGGGGTTAAACCTCGACAGCCACCGAATTTCTCAGGCACAATTTACCCTTAGGGAAGAGATGAGATTCAGTTAAAAGGGTTTGAAATCACAGTGGGTGAGCGGGTATCGTCCATCTCGGTTGCTGAAATGCTCTCGTTCAGTTCTTCAATGTACTTCTTCCCTAATTATACCTATCTGAATAATACATGGTTTAAATTGTCATTTTTAACCATGTGTAAAAGGTTACCATGCAAAACCTCAAGCGCAAGCTTAATAAAGCTCATTCTTAAAAGTAATTTACTGACATCAATATTGTTTACTAAAAATAGACAAAAGTAGTTTGGGCTAATTTCAAGAAATAGAAGTAACGTTTGAAAGATTCTTAACCGCGGTGTTGTTATCTATTGATACATATTTGCCTCTCCTTATTTTTTTTGGTAGAAAATGATGCACCCTGTTGCCAGCAGTAACGCAGCTTTCTGTGGGCCCGGCAAGAGTTCTTGCCTTAACGAAGACGCGGTGAGATCCGCCGACCAGTTTGACTTGTACGCCAGCCAGCAGAGCAAATACGGCCACGCCGTCGGCCACAAACCCATCGCCTGCCAGAGACAAGATGCCTTGAACGAATCCCACTTGCAGACCACGAGCGGCAGGAATCTAGAGACAAAAGACGAACTCAAGAAAAAGAAAAACCTCAACCGATCCGGAAAACGTGGAAGACCCTCAGGGACCACAAAATCAGCAGGGTACCGAACCAGCACAGGTCGACCCCTGGGGACCACCAAAGCAGCTGGATTTAAGACAAGTCCAGGCAGACCCTTGGGTACGACCAAAGCGGCGGGATACAAAGTCAGCCCAGGCAGACCTCCAGGTAGCATTAAAGCTCTCTCACGGCTTGCAAATCTAAGTTATACGTGTGGCAGTGCAGCTTTTCCCTATCCTATGGTGCATAACAGAGGAGTACACGCTGCTGGGGAAACCAGCAGCAAAATGAAACAGCCTAATGAATGAAAGGAGGGAATTAGTAACTCCTTACTAATCTGCTTTACTCTGAAGTTTGGCATGTTTCTTGCGTTTTCTTGTAGTGTTCGCCTAAGTCTGAGTTTCCTAGATTTTATTTTTATTCAGATAATGCCACAGCTTACGAGTGCAATTCAGTAACTTAAAGCAATGTGGAGAAGGCACTGGTTTAAAGGAGTTTTTTGTTGGGTTTTAAATCATAATTTATAAGCAAGTCTGAAGTGTTGCATATGCCTTGGTGTCGATACTCACGTAATGTCCATGTCCCTAGTTTTACATTCACTTTCTGGTAAATCTAGTTGTGTGGTGATGTATTAAATAATTGAAATAAGGAGGACAGAATTAGCTGGCCGTTGGTTCATGATGTGGCCTATCCCACAGTAAGGAACTTGGCTGGTTGAGCTATTACTTATAAGAAAAATTGATGAAGAAAGCAGCAAGCTGTGTTTCCCGCTGCTGCAGGAGCTTCTACAGACCTCAAATAGATAGTTTTTAAAAAACAAACAAACAAAAAACCCAGCCTCTTTTTCTAAAAGTGCTGATTTCAGGTGGGCTTTTGTTTCTGGAGTTGTCGCAGTAGGACGATTTTGACTAATACTCCAGAAATACTTTAAAAAAATATTAAAGGAACCTGAGCATTTGTACAGCGCGTTACAGCTTCACAGCGCCTTATTAATACAAGCTAATTTGCCTTTAGGTGATAGCTGTTCTTTTACTTCTGCTGTTACAGGATTCTGCTCTGTAATTTTGAAATGCCTAATAGTACCTATACCAAACCGCAAATAATTCTTTGAAATTTGAAATATTTTATAAGAAATTAAGTACTGTTCATTCTAGTTACGCACTTGGTTAATATTAAACACTATGTTCTTAAATCTGTAAATAGCTATTTACACTGTTTTTTGCCTTTAAAAATCTGTGCTTAGGTGGCGACAGTTTAATAGCTTTTAAAGTATTAATCTATAATGTTTACAAATTAAACTTTTTAAATAGAGACTGTTGCCAAGTTTTCAGACTTAGTTCTGCCAGATATTCCTGGAAATACAGTTATTTCGTTGTTTGACACTTAGACTATATTTAAGTTATGGAAGCTTATATATCTACCAAAGGACACCGTTTTCATGATTTATAAAAGCAAACTGTATAGCTGATGCAAACAGGATGCAGTTTACTGCACTGCTAGACCCCAGATATAAAGTAATTCATCTATGCACGCGAGCTGAAAAAAATGTTGTTGGTTAACTATAAATACCTTTCTTGACTCAAACTAAAACCTTCCCTCCTTCCAAAAGAAATGTCCCATTTTTCAACTGGGCGTGTTTAATTTTTTTTAAGTGTGAGAGAGTTGTGTGAGTGCGTGTGTGTAAAAGACTTTAATCTAGACTTCAAAAAAAAGCAGTCCTCAATGTTGCATATTGTTTGTTCTAAATTTATTTTACTGGAATTAAAGCTTTTTCTTTTTTTTTTTTTTTTTTTCATCTGGAAGAAAGTTTACGTTTAAGTTGTCTCACGTATAACATGACATTTTGATAAATTTATAGCTTCAACTATCTGGGGAGGGGGAATAGAGAGAGAGTTTGCTGATTTGGGGGAGCAGAAAACTTTTGAGTTAATTGAGCCTGTGCTGAATGAGTCATGGTGCTGATGATTTTTGTTAACATAAATGCTGTTCTGGCCTGCTGTCGTTTTGATGAGAACTCTTGATTTCAGTGCTGACAAGTTAAGAAACAGATGTCATGTTTCGTACCTTTTTTATCAGGAAAAAAGCAGCAAGCCTTCAGGTGTTCCAGTGATGCCTAACACATGTTGAGCTGGACTTTATGCTGTACTTTACAAAAAATAGGTGTGTTGAAATTGGTTTGGGGGAACTGTGTATGCACTGGCAACTAAGACAATGAACCTCAACTAGACTGGATGGCTCCTTAGTGGATAGATGAACTAACGGCAGCTAAACTGCTACTAAAACAAATCGTTTCTTCGCGCTGAAGCTCTGAAAACCCGGTTACACGTTCTCTTCCTCGAGAAACTGGCGAGGCCTGAAATTTAGCAAATCTTCCTCAGAACGCTCTCACTTCTGACACACGCCACCGGGAGTTAATTCGCCCTCAGGATCTGTGCTGTATTTGGCTGTTTTTAATCCGATGATTTTTTCAAACAAAAGACTGCTTTAAGTTCTTTCCGAACTCAGCTGGGAAAGCAGCCCCTCTTCAGCTGAATGTAGTGACGGCGGGAGTGTGGCACCTCGCTGGCAAGGAACGTGTTGCATGTCACCACTGTCCCTTGGAGAAACTCCACTTCTTTACCTCCTCCTCTTCCTCCCCTTCGCTCCTGTCCCCGTTCCTCACTGGGGCATCGGCCCGACGGTGCTGTGCTGTGTGTCGGGAGGTAACGCAGACGTATGGCTCTTCTGCTCCTAGAATGAGTTTTGTATTCCAGTACGAAATAATGAAATCATCCGAGCAATTTCTGTTCATTACCGTGTTTATTAATTACATCAGATGGAATATAATCCCAGTGAGAAACAATTAACGCTGTCAATTATGAAATGATGAGCGTCAAGTAGGAAAGTGTTCAGAGAGTCTTAATGGGGCTCTGGATTTAGCAAGGAGACCAGCCGATTATTTTCTATCTGACTATGGTTTTACTGGTGCTGTGCAGCGAGGGGAAGAAACAAGAAGTTTAAGAGATGCAAAGTGAACTAGAAATGGAATTTTCAAATCCTTCTGCTTTTCCAATGTATAAGCCGCAGAATACATCCTGCTTTTTTTCCAACACTTTTCTTTCCGTGACAAACACTGAAACAGCATGTTAATGCCTAAACTCTATTAGTACCAATGGGAAAACTGGCCTTTTCCCCCCTTAGTCTAAAAACATAACTTGTAAGGTAAATTGCTTATTTTATATTATATATCATAATTCAGCTATTCATAAGCTAGGATCACTGTTGTGTGTTAACACTGTTCAGAAGATCTAAATGTCAAGTTTGATTTTTAATAATTCCTTTTAATTATCAAGTTTCTAACGTCTTATTTATACATAAATGAAATGTATTAGCTTGCTATTATTCCTTAATGACGCTATACAAGTTCACTGTTTAATATACATATAGTAACTACTATTCAGTTTCTGATGAAATTTACTTAAACTTTAAAACCAAATAATTTTGCTACTATAAAGTCTTGCACTGGACATATTCAACATGCTAGCACCATATTTTGGCAGAAAAAAAAAAATCAGATACCATCAGAAGTGGCTGACTGATATCAAAGATAGTATTTTTAAAATCAGTGGTTAGCTTTGTCGTTAAAGCAATGTTCTTTAGAGCTTGGATTTAGTTGGAACTAATAAAAATAATGACGTATCGAGAGCCATTAATGATCTCTGTTCCAAATGAATATATTTTCATTTTGGTCTGAAAGACCTTAGAGAGTTCAGTCCAAACCAAGCCTTGTCAGTGAAAAGTGATGTGTCTGTGAAAAGAATTACTTGGAACCACAACACGCAGAGTAATTCAGCTGAGAATTTAAGTCCCTCCCCCGTTTTTGAAGAGCTTTAAAAGGCAGAGCAATGTGAAGTCATTCGTCCGATGGTTTCATGAGCTGTGACTCTGCTGTTCTTTGTTGTATGTATGATAATGTTTCACGCTATCCTTAGAGTTGACAGTTAAAACAGTTGATAACAATCATAAATACTTTGAACTGCAGACTTCCTTTCTGACCACAAAAGAAGTTTATTCTTCTCTATTTTAATGCATATATTTTAACACCGCTTAAATATATTTATGACTTTAGTAGAGATTAGACCTTTCTCCTTGTGATTTTTTTTTCTTTTTTTTTTTTTCCAAATAGATAAATCTGTAATCTGAAATTTGAACCACTTTCTGATACTTTAATCTTTCATAATTTGCTTTTCCACAGGTTTACTTTTGGGGAAAAGAGTAATCTGTTCAATAACTAGTATCGGCACCCCGTCCTCTGCTGTAAAAAGCCTGACTAGATACTGTGTATGTTTTTATGTCCATGAACTTGAGCTACTCGTGTGCAATTATGTGTATGGGAATGGAGTAGTGTTCATGATCTGTATTTACATCATCATATGGATGTATATTTATTAATAAAGTTAATACTTTAAAACCTAATGATTTTTTTTTTCTCTGGGATGTTTTTTTGTTTGGTTTTTTTTTTTCTTTTTTTTTTTTTCCAAATAGATAAATCTGTAATCTGAAATTTGAACCACTTTCTGATACTTTAATCTTTCATAATTTGCTTTTCCACAGGTTTACTTTTGGGGAAAAGAGTAATCTGTTCAATAACTAGTATCGGCACCCCGTCCTCTGCTGTAAAAAGCCTGACTAGATACTGTGTATGTTTTTATGTCCATGAACTTGAGCTACTCGTGTGCAATTATGTGTATGGGAATGGAGTAGTGTTCATGATCTGTATTTACATCATCATATGGATGTATATTTATTAATAAAGTTAATACTTTAAAACCTAATGATTTTTTTTTTCTCTGGGATGTTTTTTTGTTTGGTTTTTTTTTTGTATCTTTTAAATTCTGGCTGCAGCTGCCTCTTGCCAGCGTTACCAGACCGATGGCCTTCTCTCTTAGAAATGCTGGTAAGGGACTAGAACTGGCACCGAAATGTTTTGGAACACCTTGTACAGATTTTGCTTCAAATCCAGCACTTGTTGTGTTTGTCCCTGGCCTCCCCAAAGCGTAATTGAATCCGACTGCAGGAGACAGAGTGTGTTCTTCCCTCTGGGGGCTTCAAAATGCCCACGGGATTTGTGAGAGCTGGGAAGCCACCCTGTTGGGTGATTTTTAAATTGAATAAATAACCTTTCAGCATACTTTGCTTTCTGAATTTTAACCCAAGATGTGTACTGCTTCTTACAGGCAAGTCCCATGTATTGGAATTAAGGTTTGTATCTTTTAAATTCTGGCTGCAGCTGCCTCTTGCCAGCGTTACCAGACCGATGGCCTTCTCTCTTAGAAATGCTGGTAAGGGACTAGAACTGGCACCGAAATGTTTTGGAACACCTTGTACAGATTTTGCTTCAAATCCAGCACTTGTTGTGTTTGTCCCTGGCCTCCCCAAAGCGTAATTGAATCCGACTGCAGGAGACAGAGTGTGTTCTTCCCTCTGGGGGCTTCAAAATGCCCACGGGATTTGTGAGAGCTGGGAAGCCACCCTGTTGGGTGATTTTTAAATTGAATAAATAACCTTTCAGCATACTTTGCTTTCTGAATTTTAACCCAAGATGTGTACTGCTTCTTACGGGCAAGTCGCGTGTATTTGAATTAAGGCAAAAAGCCCGTATGAATTGCCAGATATTGGAAAATAGAGGAATGTTGCTTATTTTTTAATGAACTGAAAATGCTGCTACAGTAACTTAATTGTTCTTATCCTTTCACTCAAATATGAGAAGAGGGGAGGAAAGGGATTATAGCTACATATGTATAAATAGTGAACTGCTAACTTGTTTTTCCTGTGTTTCACATGGAAATCGATTGGAGAGTGGTCATTATTCATTATTCTGTGATGAGTAAGATGTATTTATCCCTGGATTCTAGCAATATTCCGATTTATATTTGTTGGTAAGATGTGCTCTAAATACCACCCAACCCCTCGGATTTGGCATTCAAAATTAGAAAAATGTAAGCTGCTGAAAGCAGTTTTGGAACAAAACTGGTGGGAATTTTAAGAAACGTCCCTTCTCTGTAATGCATAAGCACTGGGATAGTGTGTTTGTTGTGGGTTTGGTATGATAAAGCCTGACTAATTCTTGAGAGCTCATTAGTGTGCCATTAACAGATTGCTTATTATAGTCACCATAAAAAAAGAAGGCAGTTTTGCACAAACCCTTTTGATTTGTGTTATGGTAGGAAGGATATTTTTTAGGATTAAACCCACAGAAGCATCTCAGATGGTGGTGTTCTGCCAGAAAGCTGTTATTGTAAAGGTTTTGGGGTATCACCACCCGTGTTTGAGATCCAGCACCAGCCCCTGGTGGCTCTGAGGTGAGAGCTGGGACCCACGTGGAGTCCTTGGCCAGGAGAAGGAAAATTGTTTTCAGATTGAAAATGCTGCTTTGTCCGAATGCAATGATAAGGATGGTTGTGATAAGGACAATGGGGCAGCTTGGATTCTCTAAGTGCTCTTGCTTTCAAGCTTTCTTGCTTGGTCTGTGTCAGCTGGTCTCATTAAATATTTTCTCTCTATCTGCAAACCTCATGTTCTGGATCTTTAGACTTTTACATCCTCGCTATTAGTGCTTATACAAGTTGGGGTTGGAAAGAAAAAAAATTTCCAAGCAAGAAAATATGCATTATAAAAGGACAGAGTTGGGGAAGTGTCCTCTCGTAAAAATAAAGAGAAAAATGCCATTTCTGTAATAAAGCTGATGCCCATCTGCATTTTTGTGCACATACAGTGTTTTCCTTGCTTTTTCCCCAGTGTGTGTGGCTCATACTCTTGTAGTTCATAATTCTCACTCCCTTTTTAAGAGATGCAGTTTTGGCAAAATCGCATTGCACGGTGCTGGCAGTTTGAAGAAAACACAGTAAAAAACTGGGTATTGCCACCTGAAGCACTACGTTCATTTTCAAAATGCCACAAATTGTCCTGCAGCTTCGCTATTAAGTGGAAAGCAAGTGCTAATTCTGTGACAGGAGGATTATCTATTTCCTAAAAAGAAATACCACAATATTTATCTTGCCTTCTAGCTTGGGACCTTTGCTGCTATGCTGACGGACAAGAGCTCGTCTTTAAGCTTTTTAAAAATACCTCTCTAATTTGCAGGCTTTTGCCCTTTCCTTACCCAGCCTGGCTGAAGGTGAAAGTTTAGTTTTCATGTGCAAACATCCCAAACTCAATTTCTGTTTCTCTACCGTGGGTGGAAATAGGGAAACCCTTGGGCTGGCCGAGGCGGCTGTCGGTCCCAGCAGGCCCTTAGGGCTGCGACAGGGGCTTGTAACAAAACACAAGATGAGTTAAAGGGCAGGTTTGTGTGCCCCCGCAATCACCCTTCCCTCCTAACAGCCTGTCAGCTCCTGGGGATGATACTGCCCTCGCTGCAAGAATTTCTGACCTGAACTAATTTAAACGAGCAGTGAAATGCCTGCAATCTCCAGCAGAGCCAAGCCTATTACACCGCGTCGTACGGCTCTCGGTGGCCTTGGCCCCTACGAAGGTGCTGCAAATGAACCGGTGTCGCTGCCCTACAGGCAGGTCCCGTTGCTGAGGCGAGAAAATTTGGGTTAAAACCCCTCACTATTTGTATTCAATGGTGGCAGAATGGGACCTGAGGTGAATTCTGTGCCGCTCTCCGAGCTCCGGCGCATTTCTGTCCCCTCATGTGGGCCTCACGGGCACCGAACGCTGTTTTTGGAGCCCGCGGACGAACGTGGCAGAGGCGGGCGCGCGCCCGCCGGTGCGGACTGCGCTGCCCTCCCTCCCCGAAGGCCTCTCCCCACAGAAACACCACCGGGACGAGCGCTCGGAGGAGGAGGAGCGCACACCGTGCGCAGCAAACGGCAGGGAGCCGGTCCCGGGGCGGAACCGCCATCCCAGCCCCGCCGCGGCCTCTACCCGCCCACAGCCAAGACAAGATGGCGGCACACCGCCCTCACGGCGCGACGTACGGACGTACGCACGCACGGCGTTGGCGCGCCGGAAGCGGAAGCGGACCGGTGGGGCTGGTGTTCCGGCGGAAGTGGCCGTTGTCCGGGGAGACGCAGCGCTGTGGCGGCGGCCGGGGCCGGGCCGAGGATGTGGTGGCCGCCGCTGCTGCTGGTGCTGGCCTTGCTCGGTCGGGCCCTCCCTGCAGGTGAGGACGGCGGGCCTCAGCGATGGCGGCTGGGGTGGGCCCTGGGGACCCGGGAGGCGTGTGCGGGGGGGGCCTCCCCGGGCCGGGCGGTGCGCGGGGCGGCGGAGGCTCGGGAGCGGCGCGGAGCTGATCTCTCCCTCTCGACGCAGGGTCGGTGACGGAGCAGAGCGCCAGCGGGCAGTCCCGCTCCCCCGAGGGCGGCCCCGCACAAGACGGCGGCGAGCCGGTGCGGTACCGGACGGCGGAGATGGCGGACGCCATGCTGGGCAGCGGGCTCCCCGAGCAGCAGGCCGTGGTGCTCTCGGTGGTGCCGGGGGAGGTGAAGGAAGGCCAGGCGCCCGCCGTGGCCAAGGGGGCTTGCGAGGCGGCGGGCGGAGGCGATGGGTGCGGCGCGGGGAGCAGCCCGGCGGGGGCCCCGGGTCAAGCCGGGCTGGAGACGGTGCCACCCGCTCCAGCCGAGGAACCGAACGGCACCGACAGCGCCAAAGCTCCCAAAGTGAACTGTGAGGAGAGAAACATCACCGGCATCGAGCACTTCACGCTGCAGATCCTGAACGTGTCTCAGGTAAGCGAGTGACCGGGGTCACTGCTCGGGGAAGGTGTGAGGGTGGCAGAAGATGCCCCGTCAGCACCTGCGCCTGTTTCAGTGTCTGGCTTAGCAAATTGCTTTGTGTAACATCCTCTGTGCTGGCAAAAAGAGAAAACGTCTGGGCAAGGAGGCTTTTCGTGCCATTCTGAGCAGAAACAAACGGAGATAGAGCTCAGTCCACATGTCTGTGTCTCTCTCTGAGTGCCTGCAGTGAACTGTCGCCTTTCCTGCCGCATGGATTAGTGTCGCTCTCTGACACTGTTAATGGCTCTCACTGCCAGTACCAGGGTCTGTTTGCAGCTTGTTTCTTATAATAGTTATGTGTGTGGGTTTTTTTAAGTAACAAACTTTTAACACAACCTTTTAAAAAGGTTAAATACAATTCTCCCTCTGTTTTAAAACGGTTAGACAAATGTGCAGCCACTTGATAAATATTGTCAAGTATCTAATTGATTGTTGAACGGCACAGTTCTATGTAGAAATTAACTCTGTTAGATATGTAATTGTCCCCGTTTGTTTTTCTTCTGCTTTCCTGCAGGACCTGATGGAGTTCTTGAACCCAAACAGCAGCGACTGTACCTTGGTCTTGTTCTATACGCCCTGGTGCCGCTTCTCTGCCAGCCTGGCACCTCATTTTAATTCTTTACCTCGAGCTTTCCCAACTCTTCGATTCCTGGCCCTGGATGCGTCTCAGCACAGCAGGTGATTCACATTTCCTGTGCTTTAGCATCACTTTATTTCCGTTAGCAACTTGTGTGTTTAAATACAAGAGAGGGGTTTTTTTTCTTATAAAGTGAAAATTTAGTGAAACTGACAGAAACTGACAGAAACCCACTCCCTGTGGGTTTCTTTACCTTCATGCGTTGTATTTGCTTTATGCCCACCAGTTTATCAACTAGATTTGGAACCGTGGCTGTACCCAATATCCTCCTTTTCCAAGGTGCTAAACCCATGGCTAGATTTAATCATACGGACAGAACGCTGGAGACGCTGAAAGACTTCATTTTTAATCAAACAGGTATGTAAATCAGCCCTGATGTGTCAGTAGGGCTTTCCCCTCCCTGGTGTTTCTTCTTTAATTTCATGAAGACCTTGAGAGGACCCAGCAGAGGTTTCTATAACCAGTTCCTGTAGGGAGCTGGATTTCAGGGCGTGCTGGAAGCAGAAACTCAGCTTGCTGGGCTGCTCTCACAGCGTCGGGGGAAGCAGTGGGGTTTAGCCAGAGAGGGGGCTGGAAGGATTGAGCCCATCTTCCTGCCCAAATGTTTAATTTGGGAATGAAGGCAGATGAACCTCGGGATCATTGCCAGAGCTGTGTAAGGCTGACAGCAGCTCAGAGATGAGATGGTTTCAGTTCTTGTGCTGGAGGAGACAAAAGGATTCCAGTTTCCATCATCTGGTTGGCCACCCTGTGAGCTCAGCACCAGCCAACTCTCTGGTTCTGTAAAAGAAAAAAAGCAAAACAAAATGAAAAAAACACATTTAGGCCTACGAAGGTCTTCGTTAGAGGCCAGAAGTTGTTACATTTGCTAATACAGCAGAAATACTCAATGCAATATAAACAAAACCACTACAAAAAAAACCCAAAACCTTACAAACTTACACAAGGCTGTGCTGTGGAAGGACAGAACAAACCTTCTCCTGTTATGAAAATACACGTAAAAATCAGTATGTTTTTATGCAAGCAAACTGCATGCGAGGTCTATGTTAACACAAAGGGACCACCTCGCCAGGATTTTCAGCCTGAGAACAACAACCACCTCGCCAGGATTTTCAGCCTGAGAACAGCAACAAAGCTCCAAATACAACCAACTTCTGTGTGTTTAATGATTATTACGCAGCTCCAAATACAACCAACTTCTCTGTGTTTAATGATTATTATGCAGCTCCAAGTTACATTTGCTAATACAGCAGAAATACTCAATGCAATATAAACAAAACCACTACAAAAAAAACCCAAAACCTTACAAACTTACACAAGGCTGTGCTGTGGAAGGACAGAACAAACCTTCTCCTGTTATGAAAATACACGTAAAAATCAGTATGTTTTTATGCAAGCAAACTGCATGCGAGGTCTATGTTAACACAAAGGGACCACCTCGCCAGGATTTTCAGCCTGAGAACAGCAACAAAGCTCCAAATACAACCAACTTCTGTGTGTTTAATGATTATTACGCAGCTCCAAATACAACCAACTTCTCTGTGTTTAACGATTATTACGCACGTGGATCAAGTGCTTCATTTATTTTATTTTTTTTTAGGTATAGAAGCCAAAAGCGAGGTGGCTGTGACCGAGGCAGACTGGGAAGGTCCCTTGCCCAGTGTTTTGACCAAAGGCATAGACTGGTTGCTCCTCTTCTCCTTGCTTTTCCTGGCTGGTTTTGTCATGTACGCTACCGTCCGCACGGAGAGCATCCGCTGGCTCATCCCGGGGCAGGAGCACGAACACCAGGAATAATCCCCCCGTGCTGGAAAAGGGACAGAATTTCCCACTTAATTGGTAAAGTGGGAATTTGTACGGACTAAAAGTACAGAAGAATGAACTGTTGAATCTGGTGGTTGTAATTTATAAGCTTGACTAAAAATCTGCTTTATTTATCGACCGATGAATCTGTATAAAGCGATGAATGCGGTAAGTAAACAAATATGAGAAAACATGAACTAAAGAAGTATTTATTAAGCTGCTCTGATGGGCTTATTTTTCATGGACTTGAATGGAAGTAGGTGGTAGAGCTCGACTTTGCTCTTCTGAAGAGTTCCTGGTGCTTTGTGAACGGAGTGAGGTTTTCACAGCACGTTGGCCTGTGCGTGTGGCGCTGCTCGGTGGAGCTGTCCCCTCTGGTGGAATCTGGGCATCATCTTCTGCAGATCCTCCACGTAAAGCTACACGGACGATGTGGTAGCCACTGGAATCAGGATGTGTTAGCCCACGTCATACTCAGTTTTTTGGTTCATGTATTCCCAAAATACAGCATTTTTAAAGAAAACGGTGGTGAATGGTGATGTTGCTAAAAAAGTTTGACTGGCAGTAAAATGAACTATGAAGAAAAAAAGATGTTTTAAAAAACCAAGTGTACTTCAAATGAGTTATTTCCTTTATATACCAGCAATAACAACTCCAAAGCCTGTTGTACAGCTCTTGACAGGGTGACTATTTCCCACCTTTGATGCTGGGGTTGGATGGTGGGTGGTGGATTTTTTGGTGCTCTCTGAGTTTTTGACAGTGACAGCTCTTTATAAAGTTTAGACTAACTCCTAAACCTCTCCTCATTGTGTGTGTGTACACAAATTACTTACCACATTCTTACAGAATTAAATGACACTCACTATCCTTCCCTTTTTTTTTTTTTTTTTTAAATAAATCGGGTTTTTAGCATAACCTTTTAAGTCCCTTTCTTACAGGACTGAAAATTGTCCCTGGAGTATGATCACCTGCCTTAATTAGTAAGAGCAGGGGTGAGATTTATTTAAATTTCTGCTGGCTGCAGAGCCTGCAGCTGAGGCTACACAAAGAGTGGGTGTGGGGTTGTGTTGTAATTGGCATGGAAGACTTTGGATGAGGCACGGGTTGGTATTTTGTGTGGTTTTTTGGATTATTTGACTGCATGGCATTTGAACCTGGTGGGGGTTTGCTGATAGGAGGCTTCAGAGTGTGAATTAAGCTGGGAAGAAATGAAGATGGTAAGAAGAAAATAAGATTTGACAATGAGCTCATGTCCCCAGAACATAATTTTTTGGGTGGCTATGCCTTTCCTGTTTGGAAAGCTGAAGATGTGTGTTAAAAAGAGCCCAACACCATCCTTGAAGCACCATCCTTGGGTGAGTTTGAGTCGTTTAGATGTGGTGTTGGGGGACGTGGTGTAGGGGAGAACTTTGTAGAGTGGGGTTGATGGTTGGACTTGATGATCCCAAGGGTCTTTTCCAACTTGAACACTGAATCACTGAATTCTATGAGCACTGACCAAACTTTGATTTCACCCAAGATAAAAGTGGGAAGTATTTTATTGGTAAAGATTTGAGATTTTTGAACGATGAACGGGTGCATTCTTGCTTTGTTTGAGAGGCTCAGGGCTGGATTCTCCCCGGTAATTATCTCCCTGCCTTTAATGACCGTGTCGTTACAACCGGTGCTGTCTCTTATCTCTCTTACCTCCTCCCTCCCGTCCCCGCTGCCCTCGGGGGTCGGTGCCGTCCCTTCCCCGTCCTCCCTCACCCTTACCGGGGAGGAGGGAAGGACACGGACATCCTCCTCCCGCCGTGTCCCCCGGTTCCGCCCGGGAGAGGCGGAGCGGGGGCGGTGCGGAGC